AAGAAGTGGCCTGAGATTAGAACATATAGGGATTCATTGGTAGTCTGGATAGTTGGTTAAAATCCTAGAAGAAAAAAGATCGAGATTAGGAACAAAGATGCCTGGCAGAATGGAATATATATGAATCAATGGGAGTGAGTATAAAGTGTGAAGATCTTTGTGTTAAAAGTTAACACCAATCTAAGAGCTCCCACCATGGAAGAGGCACTAAACCAAGCAGATAGAATGGCTCCGCCAGTTGATGACAACCAGCTGTCATTGGCCAGTCCAATACTAGGACAATGGACATATCAAAAAGCAGCAGTGATGACAGAGAGGTTAGGCATCAGCCCAGCAGCTGTTGGGCTCCCACTTTCCATAATGAATCTAGCTACTACTAGTTCTGAATGTCCAACCTGCCAGCAACAAAGAACAATGCTGAGCCAATACATGGTACTGTTTGTTATATACTCAAGGCAAGTTATATACTCTGAGCTCCTTCCACCCTGAAAAGCCCCATGATTGAATCAGATAGGAATAGACCTCCTGAATATAAATTGCCTTTACTATCCACAACTTCTCAGTCAATATCACTATCCAAGGGCTTGTTCTACCTGCACAGGATCTCAATAAAGCAGAGTAGGCCCATGACAAATGGATTCAGCACTCATATCATGTTCATGAAATGTGGATTTAAGCAATGATGGGTAATGGACATGGACTGTCTACACGCTTCTGCAAGGAAAGATTTATGGCTCCAAATGCCTAGGTGCTGTCAGGCCCTTCAGGAATTCCCCAGCTGCAGAAACTTACTTCCTATGGAGGTACACACCCAACCACTGATCCAAGCCTGAGTAAAAAGTTTCCGACAACTCATCCCAGTGAGTTAAGACCATTTTAGTTCCGGAGCTCAATCAAGACGGCCAAGTCTGACATCACATATGCATCACAGCTCAACTTCCCCTGCCCAACCTTATTTCCTTGCCTTGTCTCCCACAGTTGTTCATCCCAAGGGCACTGCCTAATAAACATCTATTCTCTAAGTTCCACTTATATGAGGTTCCTAGAGTAGTCAAATTTATAGGTGAGAAAGTAGAATGGTAGTCGCCAGGAGCTGGGAGGAGAGGGGAATAAGGAGTTTCAGCTGGAGAGAAATGACGGCGAAGTTTGCACAACAATATAAACGTACTTAAATCCCATAGAACTGTACATTTTTAAATGTTTTTAAAAGTAAATTTTATGTTATATATATTTTACCACAGTGCAAAAAGAGAGATAGTGAAAGCTAGTATGTGACAGGGGAAGTGGAGACCTCTTTGAAAGTAATGCTTTGTTCTGTCGCAGAAGGTATGGAAACTAAGATGAGCTGATTTGCAAGGAGTGCTGGGGCAACCCTAGCCACGGGAAACACAAGCAGGAGATCCAGGAGGTCAGAAAGGAAGAACTTCCCATAGCTGCCATCCTGACCAACAGGCTAGGTGAGCCCAGAGACCCAGATGATTATCTTCATGCTGAATGCAGAAAAATGGGCATCTTAGGTCTCTCAAAGGGTTCTGTTTGTACCTCCCAACAGCTTTTCATGGAAGCATAAATTTCATGGGAAATTGCTGGAGAACTGGCTAATGGAAAGGTTTGGATTTGGACTGGGCTTGTCTGCACACAATTTCCCTGTGGGCGAAGACAAAGGGTCATTAGATTTGGGATAACTTACCCCAGTTCATAAGAGGAATACTGGCAAGTTGCTAAGATTCCGAGGCGATCAATAGGATGCAAGAATCAGCTAAACCTGCTGGCACAGCAGCCATAGCAACAACCTTGGCAAACCCTCCACACAGATAGCAACAAGCCACTTCAAAATCACTGGGAGCTGAGCCAAGAGAGGGAACACCGAGACAAGGACTTTGTAAATCTTAAGGATAAACTCCCTGCACATGAAAAACAAAGAACAACTTCCAAAGCATTTTCTTTGATTTCTTTTGATCTCCCTTAATTTAAGAAGCCTGGCCCTAAAGTCTGGAGCTTAGACCCAGTCTTTCAAAGGGAAGGACAAATTGCCCCTAAGTCCTTAACATGTAGGCAGGTCCATTAAAACATTAGATCTGCCTGGAAAGACCCGTTTTGAACAAAGGATAATATTCAAGAACCTCGGGGACCTTTAGATACAGGATCAAAAATAACATTAATTCTGGGAAACTAGAATATAGGTAGAGAAATTATTTTGACTATCGAACGATATGGAGGAGAAAGTAGCTGATGTTTCTGGGTTGTGATGGTTGCTGGATACAGAGGACCAGAGAAGTCTTCCTGAAGTGATATCGCCTTCCCCTAAGTGTATAGTTGCAAGTGATTTATTGCAATTCTAGGGATGGAAAGGGCCTTCAAAAGGTTAAAGAGTAGGACCCAAACAATTGGGTGTGACAAAAGGGGCCTCTAGGACAACCGTGTATCACAATTGCAAATATGAAATAGTACCAAACAGCAGTAGGAGTCTAGCAAATTACATAACAACAGAATTGGAGAAACTGGGAATAACCCATATACCACTTTAACTCCCTGCTTTGACTAGTCTAAAATAAAGATGAACATCAAATCAATCTTTTAGTAATCTGTGGTCACTGATGTACCAAATGCATTTTTTAGATCCCTTTTAACTTTGGTCACCAATCTAGTTTGCCTTCATTTGGACAGAATTGTACCTTTATTGTCCTACTATAGGGATAAATTCTCTAGTGCTAGTAAAAGTAGGAATTACTCTATTCTGAAGATTATCAAACCATTTTTCCAAAGTTTACATTCATAAAACCAAAAGGTTTTGAGCTGAAACGTTTTTCCCTGTCTCTCTCACTCTGAACACACTCAAGTGGACACACACACAAGTCCACCAACACACACACATTCCCAAGTAGCTTAATTAAAGTTATATGTTAAACTCCCTACCCTCACCCTACATATCACCATTGATACATTTAAGCAATGGAGGATGAACAGATAGAGATAACTCAAGCATTAAAGCAACAGCCAGTCTTGCCACTCAAAGTGTGGTCTGTGGGCCAGCAGCATCAATCACCACCTAGACATTGTTAGAAATGCAAAATCTCATCTTCCTCTCTGCCCTCCAACTTATAGTTCAACAGGTCCATCCTTTTTAACAAGACCCCCCAGGTGATTTTGTGGGTGCTTGAAAACTCAAGAAACACTGCTCTAACCTAGTGGTTCTTAAGAGCACAGTCTTCAGACCAACAGCATCATTATTCCCTGAGTCCCACCCTAGACCTACACATCAGACTCTTCAGCTGGGGCCCAGCAATCTGTGTTTTACCAGGATTTCCAGGTTGGGAACTGGGGGGAGCTACTACCATTATCAGTACCGTGTCCCCAACGATGATGCTCATCTAAGAGTAGTGACGTTGACAAAGGTTGCAGAAGGAAATAGACTTCACAAGGGCCCTTAGGAACCTACAGGGTTTGTATCTGCACAGCTTTCTGAACTCATCTGGGCCACTGTCCCAGCTGATCACTAAGCGCCAGCCACAGAGCTCTTTCTCGCATTCACGCCTCCGGACTCGCTGTTTCATCTTCCTGGAAGACTCTTACTCTCCTCGTAGTCTGGCTGGCTCTTTCTTACACTTTAGGGCCCATTAAAAATGTCACCTCTCTCCCTGGTAATGTGGGGGTCCTGAGGGAGGCAACCAATTGATGTGTCTGTCTCTCTCACATCAATGTGTGTGTATGTGTGTGTGTGTGTGTGTGTGTGTGTGTCTCCTTTCCACTCTAAAAAAATACATGGAAAAATATCCTCAGACGAGGATTAACAACAACAAAATGTCACCTCTTTAGAGAAGCCTTTTCTGACTCATCCTATCAAAATGTATTCTCTTTTTCCCTGTGTCTAAACTTTGTTTTCCCCATAGAGCATGTCACAATTCACAATTATGGTATTTGTTAGTGTATTCATTTACCATCTATTTCCTCACTAGGCATTAAGCTCCATCATGCAGGGCCCACTTCTGCCTTGATCACCACAGGGTGCCTAACAGTATCTTCTGTATAGCAGGATTTAATGGATATTTACTGGGTAAATTACTAAATAGGAGATAAAATGGAAAAGATAACAGGCTCAGATAAGTAGATGGAGCTTTACCATTGTTAGTGGTGGTACCACTAAGACTCTTTCTGTGATCATAGTGGCTAAAAGGAATGATATTTTCACACTGAATCCATAAAATATATCAGTTGTCCATAATGTTTGATAATTTTCAACATTAGAAGTTTTCTAAGTACTAAAGGTTTTCTCTGGGGGAACTTAAATTTTTGTTATTAAAAGAAAAAAAAATTATGTATACACGTAGAATAACTTTCACCTGAAAAGGAATGAAGCCAAAACACAAAATAAAAATGTTTAATTCCCTTTTGAATGTGTGTTGAATTCGATACAAATTTATAAAGCATTTTTCTAGGTCAAAGGAACCTATGTTACATTTAGAAGGCAACTGACTGTGAAAAATATAATCTATGCTATACTTTATTTTGTAAAAGAAACTCAAGATCTTATTCTATGTTTAATTATTATAATAATGAGGTCCTCTTTACAGACAAAGACACCACAACAAAATAATGGCACAATAAAGAAATTTTTGTTGTTTTTTTCTCTTTGTAATATCTTCATATACCAGTAAAAAATAAACTCTTTAATAAATAAATATATAATAAATATTTGCAAATTGAAAATGTATAAATAGGTCCATCCTTTAAAAAATGCCCCATCGTGGTGTGGCATGTTTTATAGTCCACGTGACACCCAGGTTTTTTACATAGAACGCCATAATCTGCAAAATCCTTCAAGGTCCTTAAAATCTATGTAGCAGTAATCCTGGCCAGCTATGTCAATTCACTTCTTCAACATGAAGTATCTATTTTCAATGTAACTTTTAAAGTAAACATCATCCAGAGAGGTGAGGCATCAGAGCAGCAAGCTAGGTGAGGTCCCCAGGATGCACAGCTTGACAGGTATTCAGTGTCGATCTACGAGGAAGGACTGAGCCAGTGTACCTAAGGGAACTTAACCCACTTACGAAGAAAGATCTTGATCAATGTCAAGTCAAAACTTTTGTTTGTTTGTTCTTAATATTCTTTCCAAATTCAGTCTCTGAGCGGAAAAGAGGCTCTGTGACATTCTGAATGTCTTTCTGGGTTATTTTTTTACAATAGATCTGTAATAAGAAAAAATGGGTGTAGTTGGGTTCTTCGACAGAAACACTGTTGCACTTTAAGTGTATATCAGTATGTCCTTATACAATGCAGGGACTCTTTCCGGATCCACAGGTCTAGGCAGGAAATGCGTAAATTTCTGATGTCTTTTGGACCTGGCACCATCTCTTGGGGTCCCATCTTTGTTAAGTGCCACAAAATATCTGCGGCCAGTGTCTCCATGTTTATATATGTTAGATGAATAGGTATTATACCAGTTCTCTTCAAATTGCTCCCTAAAGATGCATTCAGAAGTCAGTTTCTCCTAAAAGAGAGAAGATAACTACAATTAAAAAAACCTTTGAGAGAATTTTTTTTAGAAAAATCTCAACTCTTTTTATTTCTTCACCTTTATATCCTTGCCAAGGATTATTTTTACTTGATTTTGCTTTAATTCTTTTTTTTTTTTTTTTATCCTCACCCGAGGATATTTTTCCATTTTTTGTACAGATAGAGTGGGAGGGAGAGAGAGGAAGGAGAAAGAGAGAGAAACATCGACGTGAAGGGACACATCAAGTGGCTGCCACCCGCACGACCAACCAGGGCCGGGGACAAACTGCAACCGAAGTACGTGCCCTTAGCGGGAACCGAACCCGGGTCTCTCCGGACCGCAGGCCGACGCTCTAACCGCTGAGCCAAACTGGCCAGGGCTGATTTTGCTTTAATTCTTATGTAATCTGGAATTCTTTCTCCTAGCAGTTCAGTTCAAAGAACGTTTAATGTCAATTCTCAATTTTATTTTCAAATACTTAAAAAAATATTGTGAGCTTTCTCATATTCCATTTTATTTCCCTTCTACTGCCATCACCATCAAACAGGCCTGTGGTTTATGTTGTTCCATCATTAGATGCCAAAGTTCTACATAGAAGATCTCTACTGCATTTTGAAACATTTCAAGATCTCGCTAACATCCAAACTCCATATTTAAGATCACTCCAAATCATATATCTTTACTTTATGAATTTATTAGTTATTTGATGATACATTCCCCATGATTAACTTTGATCTGGATGTTACTATTAGGCAAATGTAGTAAAAGCCCAGTGATGTCTTGTGTCTTCAAGATAGATTGTATATTATTCTAAGGGATGGACTACAGTTGATTTTTTTAATCCAACACATCCATAAAGAAGGAAAATTGCCCGGTCAGTGCAGCTCACTGGTTGAGCCTCGACCCCTGCACCAAGAGGTCATCAGTTTGATTCCTGGTCAGGGCACATGCCCAGGTTGTGGGCCTGATCCCCAGTGGGGGGCATGCAGGAGGCGGCCAATCGATGTTCACTCTCATCAATGTTCCTATCTCTTTCTCCCTCTCCCTTCCTCTCTGTCTAAACCTCTCTCAATAAAGAAAAAAAAATTTTTGTTTAAAAAGAAGGAAAATTATGTGCATGTTTTTCTCCTTCACTTGTAATTCTGCTCTTTTTTTTTTTTTTTTTTAAATCCTCGCCCAAGGATACTTTTCCATTTATCTTCAGATAGAGTGGGAGAGAGAGAGAAACATTGATGTGAGAGAGACACATCGATTGTGCCTCCTGCACGACCCCGACCAGGGCAGGGGACCAAACTACAACCGATATATGTGCCCTTGACCGGAATCAAACCCGAGACTCTCTGGTCTGCGGGCTGACGCTCCAACACTCCAACTGCTGAGCCAACCAGCCAGGGCTGCAATTCTGCTCTTACGATTGTTACACAATGTAGTATTCTCTTTCTTGTGAGCTGACAGAAAGCCTGGAAGAGCAAGGCGTACCCTTACAAAGGACAGATACTAAGTGGAATACTTAATACTAAAACATTATTACTAATTTTTCTCAGTGTATATTGAGATTCTAACTGTATATTGTGGTCTTAGTTGAGATTTTAAGAAAAAAAGCGGTACCAGACAGTGCCATAGCTAAATCATAAAAAGTAAATTGTCTTTGTAAATAGTTAGAGACTTTGACTTTAAGAAGTGATTTCATATGAGCAGATGGGTGGGAGAATGGCACACAGTTACACTTTCCCAACTTTCTTAAAATTATATCAGCAATTGGGAACAAATGAAAAATACTACCAGTGAAAGAGAAAAATCTATATGTTGCTGAAGATTGAGTTTTTGTTATCCTGTTACTCTAATTCTTGGGCTGTTGTAAAAAAATACTTCTCATATTGATGAAATATTAACCAGAAAACTTTACTTTCAGCCCCATATTTGAAAGCATTTATAGTAGACCCACAAATGTACAGTTATCCTCAGTGGCAAGTTAAAAATTGCCCAACACAACTCTGAGTGAGCTTGTGGCTATTGTAATGATCAAGACTGCATGTGTGGTCAAACTAGTGCGGTTACCATTATCTGTTGCATCTTACAGTAATTTAAGATTTCATTCATTCATGTCCTACATACAAAGGTCAGCAAGTTAAGTGATATATATGTAGCTATGGAAGATGATAGAGAGTAAAGAAATTTTATATTAAATGAATGTAAAGGAGAAAAGAATCTAACATGACAGAAAAAAAAAAAAATGCTCTCATTTTCTTTATCTCTGATGGGAATGACCAAAATATGAAGAAAAGTAGAAAGACCCAAGATAATGAGCGGGAAAAACTAGTGAGTTGAAAGCAGTAAGGATGTAGGGTTTAGAAAATAAAACTGAGTTATTCTACCATTACCCAGACACATAGAAACATATCAGGATGTAGAATTATAATGTGTACAAAAATATATTTTATATATTTCTTCTGAAATGCATTATTAGTAGATGTTTTACTTATAAAATTAATAGTCGTTGTTTTATGAATTACATAATTTTTTAAAATAATACGTACTGATCCATAGAGTTCTCCTTTGTCATTCATCCCAAGGTAAAGACCACTGTCCACACCTCTAATACTGACCAGTCCCACTGCCACACTGATGAATTCCAGGATACCTACATTTATTTAAAAAGAAAAATAATGATTTGTATTTATTAATGAACATATAACTAATAAAAATCTTCCCAACAGCAGTAGATTAATATTACTAAAAATAATGATGTGCAGAAAAGTCCTTTGTAAACTGAGAAGTCCTGTACAATTATCTTATTCAGGTGATTTTATAGATGGAAAATAAATTAAAAAGAAAATAATGCTCATCATGGTATAATGTTAAAGGTGTAAAACCTTAAACCAGACTGACCTGGTTTTGAATTCCAGTTCAGTAATTTACTGGCTATTTGGACTATGCAAGTCATTTGCCTTCTTTGAACTTCAATTTCCTCCTATGCAAATTGGGTGAAATGTCTCCCTACAGGAGAGAGGTAAGGACTAACATACACATTTAGGCATTCTACAAATGAAAGCTATTATTATCATAAATTGGGATATAATAGAGGTGTCTTAGTTCTCTGTGATTCCATTAGTTAATTATAACCATGTTCTATTAATTATAGTGGGGTTGTTTTTTTTGGGGGGGGGGTTGTTTACTATGAATCAAGTCAATCCTTTCTAGCTGCAGCCAGTGTATCTTATATGGGTACGTTAGTATTTTATAGTTTCTTAAGTCTTCTATTTACATTTTCTATCTGGTCCTCAAAAACAGTCCCTGACATAGGTATAGATATAGTATTATCTCCATTTACATATAAAGAAACTGAGGGTCAAAGAGGTTTATTGACTTGCCTGAGGACATGATGTTTGTAATTAATAAAACCAATACTCGAACTCACACTTCTGAGCCCAAATCCAATGTTTCTACTTCAGGACACAGTTTCTTAAAGACATACAGTAGTTTCAAAACTTTATAGATTATATAATATGCTTTGTTCTGTCACATGATTTTTAAAAGTAAGTTCTATAGTTCAAAAAATAAAAGAACTTTATAATTCATTAAATGTGATAGCCAAATGCCAATAATTTAGCATGCAAATCATTTTTTCTATCAATAACTTTCTAGAATTATTTTCATTTATCAGAAAATAAACTAGTGTCAAAAACTTACTACAAAATGCCATAGTAATTAAAAAGCAAAACAAAAAACTTAATGCTTAATTCTGCAACATGTTTTTTCTAACCTTTGGACTAATGTCTTTGTCTTGTTCTTCCCCTTAGACTGCTGCAAAAGTATATAGACATACTTTCTGTACTCGGAACTTCCTTCCTCAATAGCTTTCTACCTTCGCCCGTTCACCCCCTCTTAAGCTCTACAAACAGTGTAAATGTGCACCATTTAGTTTGACTCTTGCTTTTAAGTCATTTCTTGATTTATTGTGCAAGTTTCTATTTGGGCACGTGATGTTCCCAAGTCCAAGGGAAAGTACAAAATCTAACTATTTGCTTATACAGAGGGCTCTATTCTGTCCAGAGCCTACTTAATTCTTTGGCAGAAACATAGATTGTTAAGCTCTAAATGTGGGTTCTTAAGAGCTCAAATGAGCTCTTTCAAACTATTAGAAGATCATGTAGAACACTAGAGCTATCAAGGATCTTACAGCAACAATACATTACTAAATAGTCTATAAGTGGCTTGAAAGAGTCAGTGTCCCTAAGGCAGAGAGAAGATAAGATATAGCAGGAAGACACAGACTCCACAGAATAGCCATTACAATGACAAATTTAGAGGTAGGGAGTAAATGACAATTAAATTTGCTATCAAGCTCATTAATGAGCGATTCATATTAGAAATAAAAAAATATCAGGCTGAATTATGATTAGTAGAAGTAGATATATTAATGGAATTTCATCCAAGATATACTTACAAATGTGTAATTACTTGAAGTTGTATTGAATGTTAAATTCAAATTGAAAAGGATACTATGGCTCACATGTAACTCAATTCTCTTTAAGTATCTGATTTACATTAAGATGCTCCTGTCTTTCAAAGAACAGGAACTGATTAACTGATTAGGATGAATAATAGAACCAGTTTTCAAATACAATAAAATATATTTCATTTGCATATAGCCCAATTATATAACAGATCTTATAAAATGTTCATTTTTCTTGCAAAACTAAAACCACCTATGCTTTAATTCTTATCTTAAGATAATGCTATCTTGTCAAAAATATGTAGTTGTAGAAAGATAAAAATTACATATATTCTTAGAATAATTATATTTAATAGTTTCAACTTTATTAAATAATATCCAAAACTTCATACATAACCAGGTATAGATAATTTTGCAATGTCTTTAGGGTTTATGGGAAAGGGTTATTTGTTTTTTAATGTTCCTCTTAAAGATTTTAGCCACACTTTTTAATTCTGATCCTTTTTCTCCTCAAGGAAATAGTATACCACATAGTAATTTGTAATCATTTGATTCTCAAATGAGATTTGACAAGTCTTTCTTATTTATAATATGAGGTGGCAACTAAGCTAATTCCTTCACAAAGAGTAGACATGAAAAACTTTCCTTAAGAGGTAATCACAGATTTTAGATAGATTTTCTAATGCCCAGTGTCCCATAAAAAGACTTGGGGGTACTTTGTCTTTCTGGTATCATTTTCAAAGCCAGCCTTTTTTGAAATCATAATAAACAGGTGAGTCAACCCACAATGCAACCACATCAGACAAATCTATGGAGAATAGGGTAGAATAAAGGAAAGCCTTTAAAGAAATATGTTTGATCTCAGGTTAAGCTTTTTTTAAAGTAATGATTCCATGTTTATGTATTAGATAAAGTCTTCCTACTGTACTGAAACTCTATTATAAATATAGAGCTAATTCTGATAGGAAATTATTTTAACCTCACCGGGACCTTTCTGTCTATTGATGTGGTTTTGAAATTTTAAAATCCAGGATTCTAAACTTTTTACTTAATTAGAGTCAAATCAATATAAATTATCAAACATGTTAATTTACTTTAACATCTGAATAGCCAATCTTAAGCTTTTTCAAAATTCTTTTTTTGATGATACAGAAATGAGTTTAAATGAAAAATAGCAAAATAATTTCATAATCAGTAATTCAAACACTAGGAAAAGAAGGCAGTAGAGAAAGAAACATAATATTATACATGCTAAACATAAGCATTCTTCTCACCTACTCCTTTGTAGTAAATTATGATGTCTTAGCTACAGAGGCCACTAGGAGGCACTGTAATGCATTTTACAGTCTGTTCACTCCTTTAGGCTTCCAGACCAATCTGGGTTATCTTCTCTTTGTGTGACAGTAAATATTTTGTTCTGATAAGTAGCCTTCCACCATTGACTGACAAACCAGCACAGAATCAGACTACATCATATTTTTGCAATTACTAAATAATTATACAAAATTTTAGCACATAAAATTCTTATAAAATAATAATTCTGATATACAATCTTCATTTCTTAAGGAATGGATTTAAATACCAGTTTAATGAGTGCTATTAAGTCTACAAATATTTACTAATCTCTTCCCATAGGGTCAGTCTTATAATGAGACACAAAGTGAAAGAAGCAACTCGTTGTTGGGGAGATTACAATTGACTTACAAGCATCTTAAAAACATAATTTCCAAGGCTACATTCTGTAACCAGGGGGGAGTCTGAATATTACCTAAGCTTAACTTCCACCTGCTCTATTTATAGGACTTCACACATTTGTGTCCATTTCTAAATGTTTTGGTAGCTGGAGGATTTTTCTGTCATGAATGAAGTGCAGTAATTCTTAAAGCCAGAGAACTGAGCCACCTGGTGTCAGCAAAGTTCTTGAGCATCAGCATCTCAAACTTCAATTTAGAAACCACTTTCTAAAAGTGACCCCAAGGTTGGCCACTAGGTCATGACACGTTTGACTCATGGTCAGTGGGAATTTGGAAGAGATCAGTGGAAGCTGCAAACATATGGGTTTTTAAAAGTTAACTTTCTAAGCCTTTGAGTGCTACCAAATGACCACCACATGCTCCTTTCCACATCTAGAGTGACAAACGCCACTCAGTCCAAGATGTACACTTCTCCGAAGTTTTAATGAGTATACAAGCCAAAAGGGGAATGAGAGTAAAACAAGGAGATGGGGACAAGATAAGAGAAGGCCATTTAGAGATGAGATTCTCAAAGAATCCCACAGTGCCGAGGGAAGGAAAGGAAATCTGATACCGTATTGGGCCCTTTCACATTGCTGCTGACAAGTAAATGGTATCTTTAAAAAAAAAAAAAAAAAAAGACAGTGAATCTCTCCAATGATGTCCCAAATTTGATGATCAAAACTCTTTGAGAATGCCAGGCAGTTAACTCTAATATGGTGAAAACTTCCACAATGGGGGGAAAGACCCTGGGATGTCAGAACCAGAAAGCATATACAGAGATCACCCAATTTAACCCCATCATTGCACAGTGAAGAAACCCGAGGCCCAGCCTGGTGAGGGCACTTGCTACTCGCACAGCTAGCTGGGGATAATTAACAGTGGAGACCTTATGATTTCTCAGTCTAGTGACTTTACAATCATTCACTTGTTTCTTTCCTTTAACCCCTTCTGCTGCCAGGCACTGCTGGAGGTATTCTGAAACCTGTCCCTAGGTGTTCCCACCCATATCTTCTTTCGCTTCCCCATTTCCTCTTACGTGCGGTCAACACCAAGATCTTTGCTTTGGGGTTTCACAATTTCTAGAGGAGCTTGGCTGAAGGACTGGGCATGCTCAGTAGCCGGATAGGGTTTTTTTTTTTCCTTCCCTCATCCAAATAGAACTTCGGGAGCGCGGGGACTGCTGCCAGGGGAGCCTGACGGTGGCGAGGCGCCCCGGAGAGGGGATCGGTCTCCGGGTGACGCTCACAGAGCTCTCGGTGCACCCGAGAACGCTCGCCTCCCACACAAGAGCGAGCCGCGGGGCGTAGCCCCGAATGCAAAACTGCGGGGTATGTTTAAAGAAGCAGAATGCTTCCTGTTACTAATTTTTGCTGATGACAAAACGGTAGACAGTCCTGGGGAAAACGTGAGAGGAAGTGGGAGGAAGTCATATGGGGATTTTCAAAAACAAAACCAAACAGAACCGCCTGCGAGGTTAGGAGTGCGAAGAAGACCCAGGCAGCAGGAAGGGCCGGGAGCGAAGTGCTGGCGGAGCCCCATCCTGTCTCCTCCGCCCCCGGCCCCCGGCGCCCCCGACGCCCCCCGCGTCCGCAGCAGCTGGCCTGAGCTCCGAGGACACGGCCTCCGGCCCCGCGCTGGCTCCTTGGGCCCCGCGCGCCGCGCGGTCACCCGGCCCTAGCGCTCGGACTGCGCACAGCCCTCTCCCTGCGCAGGCGAGGAGGGAGGGGGACGAGGTGCTGGAGACGAGCCAGGGTGCGGGTGCGAGTACGTACCGAAGAGGCTGTGGTCCTGCCGGGTGCCCTGCACGCTGCCGTCGGGCAGGATCTGCAGGTGGAAGCCGGTGCGGCAGTAGAGCTGCCGGCGGCGCAGGATGCCGTGCAGGTGCGCCAGCTCCGCGACCCCGGGCCCGCCGCGGGCGCCCCGCTCCGCCGCGCCCCGGCGCTCGCCCAGCAGGGGCGGCCTCTCCCCGGCAGGAGGCAGCAGGAAGTGCGAGCCCACCTGCTGGCCCAGGCCCTCCAGGCCACCCAGGAAGCCCCCGACTTCGGTCAAGGGAGCCATGGAGGGGTCAAAGGGAGAGGCAGAGGATCCGCGAAACAAAAGAACCCCTCGCCCCAATAAAAAAGTGTAGCGGGGATGGGAGGTAAATGAAGAAAAATTATAGCGAAACAGCGCAAAAAAGTTAAGACCCGGTTACTCCTGTGAGGTCGCTGAATGGACTTTACACTGAGATACCAAGGGAGCGTTCACTGCCTTGGAGCGATCTTCTCTCCTTGGGTAGGTGGGAGCTGGCTGCTGGCTTTGCAGAAACATCTATAGCTGCGGCTGCCAATACTGGGCTGGGGGCAGGGGCTCCAAGTCCGCAAACTGATCAGATCAGTCCTGTGTACATACACACCGAGTATATAAGCGGGTCCTCTTGACATATGCTAATCAAGTCCTTTCATGCGCGCTGGGGAGGTTCTGTTTGAAATCTTAAACCGGCCTCCTCTCAACACGTTTTTGCTCTTCGGAAGTGACCGAAAGGGGCCCTTGACGGTTCTCTATCCGTGCAGTCGCAAAAATCATTCCCACACTTGGCCAGAGCTGGCCAGCAACTTCGGGGAGGCGCAGTCAAGACCCCTCTTTGGGGCTGTCTTTGGAACAACCTTGATGCTGCTCCGCTGCTGCTGCCTTTGATGTGAGCTCCTTTGCAGTGATGGATGGCTGCTAAAAGGAGTTCAGCTTGGCAGGTATATAGAAGGGGAAGTGGGGAGGGAGGGGAGGCTGGGAGGGGGATGGGTAGGAGAGGAAAAGGAGAGAAGAGGAGGAGAATTGGACTCCTTGGGAGCTGGTGGGAGCCTGCAGTGGACAGGTGCAAAGAAAGGTAAGAGAGGGAAAAGGGAAAAAGGGCGTTACCTGAGGCTTAGACCTGCCCAGACACACATGAAAGGAAAATCAAAGCTTTGACAGTTTAACTCGCTAATTTTAAAACACTAATAAAATGTACAAGCATTACTCTTTTCTTTTATCATTTAGATGGGGGATTTTCTTTACATAATCAGGGTTAGGTTAGAAACACACGTACCCCCCTACCCACCCACCCACCCATTCCCAGATTCTCTTTAATGTTTATCATTACTTACTCAGCACATGATATAACCAAGATTGTCTTATATCTATATGGAAGTTTCTCATTGTGTGTTAAGGTCACGCACTTTTAATCAATATAATATAATAATATAATCTGAATCCAGGGATTACAAGTAAATCTAAACAGGCTGAAAAGAGATAGTGGTTCATTCTTATATTTGCCACGAATAGAACATGAATGTCTGTAATAGTGACATAAATTAGTGGCCTCTGTGGCCCTCATCCAATCTAAGAGCACTCCCCTTTCTTCTTGGTTGCATTTTTTTTTTTAATTAGATAATTTTTTTTGGTTCACTTTTAATTATAAAAACAACTAATGGAAAACAGTGTTGATTCTTGATGTGTTTTTGAGACATGAAAAATTACTGGTAAAATGTAAGAGTGCCTGTACGTATTTATAAAACAAAAAAATCATGGAAGTGAAGGAGATGGATACATGTCCATTTGAACTTAAAAACTTTGGTTTTGGACCACTAGTTAAATTCAAGATGTTTCCATTAAAATGTTTTCAGTGGTAGAAGAATTCAGAATCAATCTTTTGGCAGATTAATGCTTCCCCTGAGCAAAAAGTTTCAGGGAATCACTCAAGATTAGTTTTCCAGTCTTGTTTCATGGTCTGTTCAGCAAAAGCCTAAACATGGGAGCACAAATGGATGTAAATGCTTTATTTTATTTGCTCTAAAGGGTTTTTTTGGTTTTGTTCTTTTTTTTGCTAATTAATTGGCAGGTGCTTTAAAGTAGGTAAAGTTACACCTTTTCATCACTCTGGCCCTAAGTACTGACCCTTGTGCCACCAAGTTATAAAAGAGTCCTTAAAACGAGTGATTTACTGTTGATAGATATGAAATAAAACAAAAACACTGGCTAAAAACAATAAACAGATAAATCACCTTAGAAATGTATACCGCTAAGTCTGTTTTAAAGGTTGTACCAGGTAAATGTCATATTATTTTACCTTTCAAATAACAGCAGTCTGTCTTGTGGTAGGACCCCCAAATCCACCATAATCAAGATTTCAAAGCACATCTGTGTAAACATTATCACATCAGTGTAAAACACCAACCAATGAGCTTTTACTTTGAACCAAATCTTCTTAATTGCAGTGTTAAATCAAAGAAAGTTAGATCAAAGTTGTGTGAATCTCATAGCGGGATAACTAAAATAGCTAGTACACACATTGATCACTTTTAAAGAAGAGATACTTAAAGGTTTAAAACAAAGATCAAGTACCTTTTAATGAGGTTTGTTTCAAGGTCTAGTTCTGTACAACATATAATGCTATTAATTATTCCACAATGGATACATAGCATCGTCACCTGTTCCTTGAGTACTAGTTTGGTGCAAAATTAAATATTTTAATTTTATAAAATATTTCCTCACACGTTAAGCTTGCTGTGTGAATTATAGCTCTAAGACTATTTAAGTCTATTATGTTATTTATATATACAAAATATGGGGAACTTTTATACATAGTCACCAAAGCCCAGATACTTTAATAATAGAACTACCTTCTCTTTGCACAGCTTTGCATTTTCCAGTGCATTGCCTTATCTGATCACCACAATAACCCTATGAGATAGGCACCTTCACTTTATAAGGAAAAAATTCTCCTGGACTCCAGTTCAGGGCTTAGTCCTACAACCCAGGACAATGTCCTTAAACTCTCTAAATGCTTCTGTTGCCTCTTTTGTAAAATAAGAACAATAAAACTCCTGCCTAGTTCACTATGCCTAGGGTTGCTATGAGATTTAAATGTGAAAATATTTAGGAAAGTGTTTTTAAAACTATGACGTTTTCCATGCATATAAGATAATAGACACCTTCAGTTGTTGGGAAATTTTCTGCTTTATAATTTAACCAATGTAATTCATTTGAAATACAAAATAAATCTTTCTTCCCCAAAACCAAACCTTTAATGTGTAAGTTTTGAATTGTGCTTAATGCCATTTTATAAAGGGCCAGAATAGAAACAAAAAGATAAGGATTTCTTTTGTTTGCACTAGTCATGTGACAGGAAAAGATAACACTAAAGATTTTTTTTTTTTGCACATGCTGTGATGATATCATGGGAAGTTAAATAATTTTGAAGAGTGTTTTACAAGAGTGCATTATTCAACTTTTAAGTATACACTGCAATCTAATCAACTCTACCTATACTTCCTAGAGACCACACTTGCCTTGCTGTTCTACAAATATGTGGTACAGTTTCTACTTCCACAAATGTAGTTACAGTTTTCCAGACCCTAGAATTTCCTTATAGCTTTTCAGCAAGCATATTGTCACGAATCTTTGTTTTACACCTGAAAAAAGATGCTTTTTGATACTTCTACCTGTGTTTAACTTGAGAAAAAGAAAAAGAGCTGATTTAAAAGTCATGACTTATATCCCCCATAAAATAAAAGTACATTTGCCCACATTAGTTTTATTTGTAATTACAAAATATTGGCAACAACATAAATTTCCTTACATAGAAAACTGAATACGTTATGATATATTCACACAGTGGGGCATTATACGGCTGGGAAAAATGACAAAGATCTCTCTAAACTAATACGGAGTATTTCCAGGATATATTAAGTGAAAAGAGCAAAGCTTCAACATATTTTATGTATAGAGTGTTACCTTTTCTATAAAAAAGAAGGAAAATAGTAAAATCCTACATGTGCATGCTTATTTTTTTTCCCAAAAATAAACATAGGATAGATAAACCAGAAACTAATTGGTTAACTGACTACCTGGGACAAATGTAAGGAGAAGAGAAAGGAGAGTGATACTTCTTTGAGAACAGCTTTTTATAGAGTTTTGACTTTTCGAGAAACATAAATGTTACTGATTTTTTTTTAAAAGTAACATAAAATAAACAACAATGAGGGGGAAATGAAATGAAACCAGAAACAAATGAACCTAACTGAATTCAAGTGAATAACATAACCACACAGAGGGAATAATAGTATATATTTTTAAAAACAAAGTAACTTTCAAATACTATATAATTAAGATCTAAAGACCAAAACAAACATAAACAAATACTGAACTTCAGTTACAAAGACTTTTTCTCAGTGGTAGGGGTTAGACCAGAGTTTTGTAAGATTGAGCAAATGAGTATTACAATAATGAGAGCTCCGTGTTTTACTGTGAGAGAATGGAGTTACAGACAGCAAAACAGGGAAGACTAGAATGAATCCTGTAATATTGAATTTCAATTGTAGTTATCAGTATGAACACATGGGTGTGTGTGTGTATGTGTGTGTGTGTGTGTGTGTGTGTGTGTGTTTATCTTAGCTCTGTCCACTAACAGGATGTAGTAGCAAGGATTCACCAAAGACAATTGAGATCTTTAGTTTCTCAATTCAGTCTACCACTAAAATGACCCATGATTCCTGGAAAATACCTGGTTTCAGGACTGGGGCATCTTTTTCTTTGTTTTTTTGTTTTGTTTTTGTTATCCTCACCCGAGGACATTTCTCCTTTTTTTTGCTCAGACAGAGTAGGAGGGAGAGAGAGAGATAAAAACATCAACGTGAAAGGGACACCACCCACACAACCAACCAGGGCCAGGGACAAACTGCAACCAAGGCACGCGTCCTTAGCAGGAACGGAACCTGGGTCTCTCTGGACTGCAGGCCAAGCTCCAACTGCTGAGCCAAACTGGCCAGGGCTGTAGGACTATATTTTAGAGCAGTTTTAGGTTCACAGCATATAAGAGGATACACAGTTGCATAGCCTTCCCCATTATCAACATCCCCTACCAGGGTGATACATTTGTCACAACTGATGAACTTACATTGACATATCATCACCCAAGTCCATAGTTTACATTAGGGTTGATCTTAGTGTTGTACATTTTAGGGGTTGTGACAAATATAGAATGACATGTGTCCATCATTGTAGTATTGTACAAAATATTTTCACTGCCCTGAATATCCTCTGTGCTCTGCCTATTCTTCCTTCCCACCCCCCTACTCATGGCACCACTTAGCTCTTTACTGTCTCCATAGTTTACCTTTTCCAAAATGTCACATAGTTGGAATACATTGCCATTTCAGATTGCCTTCTTTCACTTAGCAACATGCATTTAAGTTTTCTCCATGCTTTTTTATGGCTTGATAGCTCATTACTTGTTAGCACTGAATACTGTATAGTATTGAAGCTGCGGAAGTCCAAGCGCAAAGTGGCAAGGGACGACTGTATAAAGAATCCTACTTCGCGGAAATTCATTTATCGCGGTGGAGTCTGGAACTGATTAACTGCGATAAACGAGGGCCGACTGTACTATTCTATTGCTCAGATCTACCAGTTTATTCATTCACCTCCTGAATGACATATTGGTTGCTTCCAAGTTTTAGTAATTATACATAAAACTGCTACAAATATCCATGTGTAGGTTTTTGTGTGGACATAGTTTTCAGATCCTCTGAGTAAATACCAAGCAATGTGATTGATGGATTGTATGGTGAGAGTATGTTTAGTTTTGTAAGACACTGCCAAATTACCTTCCAAAGCGGCTGTACCATTTTGTAGTCCCACTAGCAATGAAT